GTGGCATAAATGTCTTATCAAGATACTAATGAAATCTATATAGTTCCAAGCTCTTTACTAGTTTTCACATTTAGTCTCTGTCACATATTTAGACCAGCTTTTTCAGTGAAAAAGAGGGGACCACTCCTCAGCTCTCAGAATGGAGATCAAATGTTTTCTAATATGATGAAGACGGCATGTTGTGGTCTGTATGTTTCAGAAATGTACTTGAACACAGCTCTTCTGTTGGGACAAACACAATGTTTTTTATAAAACAATAACAAAGTTAGATACAACATCTTTAAATCCTACAGTGGCTACAAGCAATAACAGTCTGGGTACTTCCTATCGCCCACAGGGTTTGTGAATGGGACAAAAGAAGGTTTTCTGTACCCCACCCCCTCCTTCGTGGGGCCACAGGCCTGGGGCAGCGAGGAGGCACATCCCAGCACACTGATGGGGGCAGGAGCCACTACACCGGCGTTTAAATGATGTAACAGCAGGCTGGGGGGTGACGTTGCTATGGAAATGACACTCAATTAATAATAGCATGACTGAGACAAAGCGGGGTACACTGTAGGGTATAACCGGGGGCTGGTGTTTGAAAAATGGACCAGTCCACCCCATCATTCAATGTAATAACTTTACTATATATAAAAGCGATGTGTTTTACTCTAAAAAGATACCCATATTTGTCCAAGTAAATACCATAGCAACATATCCCATTAGTTTACATATTTATTAATATATGTCTATGATTAACAATGGGATATTAAGTGTGGACTGATCAAGTGCTGACGTCCCCGAACATGGAAGAAACTAATTTGAACATAAGCAAGCAAGCTTTAAGGGTAAGTTGGGGTTTCTCCACAAATGAATGCAGCCAATTTGTTCGATTAACATACACAATATCAAACTATAAACACCAGGATCACATGGATTTTTCAGCCTAACATGGGGAGTGCAATGTAAGTCCATAGGAGCCCGAGCAAAACTTAGTCCACATGCGTAATTATTAAACAGGACCAACTTTAAGCTTTGGTCCTGCTTTGGTCCTGACCAAGCCAATATCTGGAGGTGGGTCCCCAGGGCGGACAGGGGGCCCTGTGGTGGCATTGGAGGGTGGATCAAATGCAAAGGACAAATATCAATGATGAATGTAAATAATTGCAAAATGGCTAAGCATCCATCCATCTTTAAGAAGCACTGTTCTTTCCGAGATAGTTCAAAACCAACCTAAACATAGCCCTGTTAAAACCATGCTGTCGGCTCCCAGGGCAGGTGCTGCATCCACACCTCTGCTTCTCTCTCTGGCACATTCCCTCTCCTGCCTCTTCGAGTGTGACGCCTTTCAATATCAGAGTATTGGGCTTGAGCCAGTGAGCAAATATTGACACAGTGAATCTCAATGAAAGATGTTCCGTTTCTGAAGCTCAAATGGGAGTGGTTTATCACGGCGGGGTTTTTCGGAGGACGATGGGCCAAACGGAGATGCTCAGTGGGGGTTTAAACTCGCTCTGAGGGACTCCCATCACACAAGGAGACATGTTTATTTTACTCACACCTTTCTCAGACTCGACCACCATCATGTGAGCCAGTTCACCATGTCCTGTTAAGTTTCAAGATATTGTTTAATGTGAGTGGACTCTAAGTCGACAAACATTAGTATTAGTTGACTATTTATTTATTTACATGGGAAATCTGCAAAAATGAGAGGGTATTTATCAAATCTACTAAAGATGTTGCTATTCATTTTGATAATCAAGAGATCAGATAAATCTCAAATCACAGGTTTAATTCATATTTTTATTGACTGCAAAATATTTGTTTTTTGCATGAAGATGAAGTCTTAGGCAGCTTCTTTTTATGTCGATTGAAAGGTAGACAACCAAAACATTCTTTGTTCGACTACTTTTCTACTGATCGCATCAACAGCCTCACATCATCTGAAATAAACATAACACATACATTAGCCTCCACATTTTCATCTGCTTAAATACGCCATATTCTCTGTAAACGTAAGTGCGTGCATGTATTTGAATATGTCTTGGACTTGTGTTGATCGCTGCAACTCAATGATTCACAAACAGCCAATTACAGACGTCTTAACAAGTGACCAGCAGCACCCCATTAAGCCCCCTCCTTCTTTTTCAGCACCATTACTGCTCATCCGCAATCACTTCAAATTAGATCTACAAGTCAATACCAGAAGTCAATATTTAATTTGCTCATAGCAGGTGGTGGTTTAGCGCGGGACATGGCGAGTCCTGGTACGCACCGCTGTCGTACACGCTGTGCCCTTCATGTAAAGCAGCAAGGGCAACAGGGACCGAAACAGCTGTTAACTCGAAAATGACTCAAAGAGACAAGAGAACATTGATGCTATTACAATTTGAGCATGACTGAAGGTGGTTCGACGAGGGACTGGTTGATGCATCTACCCTTGATTTCCATAAACCCTCATTTCTAAGGGATTACAAAGACAAATCCACAACACTGGTCGTATTGCGATGTTCAATTGATCTTTGTTCTCCTTCAAAGTTCACAACATCTCATATAAAATGTCTTCTATTCAAAAGTGAGGCTTGCAAATAATATTTAATGTTGTGCACTCGCTTTCGTCCTGCCTCTGGTGGTAGGAAGACAGTGCCAAAAACTGTAAAATGTATCAGAAGACCAAATGAACCTTGTTAGTATATTATTGTTACAGCTAAGTGTCTCTACAAAGCTTGTATATTCATTTTAAGTGCAGGTTTAATGCTGGCTTTGATTTTCTTTTTCTAATTCTCACACATGGACAAGAGGAGTTTCCATCACAGAACAGATTAAGGAGCTCAAACACACAGGAGGAGCTCGGATCACAGCAGCTTCATCAAATTCTGCTCCATTTGTGTTTAGTGTTATTTGCGGCGAGTAAGAAAGTTGTCATTATAGCTTAGAAATTATTCATTTCAAACTTGTACATCAAAAGACAAAACAAACAGGGTACAAAAAGACTATACATAGGTCCAAACACTCTCTGACCTTACACACCCCCATCATGTACTTCTTCTACTTCCTAACTGCTTGCACTGACATACAGTTTTATATTAATTCTAAATTTAGCCACATCTCTTCTTTAAAGAAGCTAGACCCGTTTTTTTTTTTTAAGAGTTCATAAAATGCTTATTAATACATACAAGTTGTATTATAATACGTAATTTAATTGAAAACTTGAGCTCATTGATTCAGCTTGTGTATGAATTCAAGCCGTAAAAAGTGCTGAGCAGAACGAGGCTGCCTCCTCTAGTGTAGCGCAGTAGCATGTTAGCAGAATTGGCTATATCAGAATCAGAATCAGAATCATTTTTATTGCCACTTAAGTAACAGAAAGTCAAAGACTTGGAAATTGCTTTGGCTCAGTGCAACAGTCAGAAAGAGAGGTAAGGGTAGAGAAGGCATAATAAAAAATAAAGAATAAAAAGGAACACATTTAAAATAGAGTTACAATTACTACAAGAGCACATGGTGCACACAATGTAAGGTGACAGCAGTACAGTAAAGTAAAGTGACGTATGATGGGCAGTAAAGTGACATCACAAAGTGCAGTAGGGGACTTCTAGAGGGCGGGGGGACAGGTTATGAAGTGTTCAAGAGTCCAACAGCGGAGGGGAAGAAACCTCTCTTGTGGCGGGAGGTTCTAGTCCTGATGGACCGCAGCCTCCTGCCTGAGGGGAGTGGTTGGAATAGTCCATGTGCAGGGTGAGAGGGGTCGGCTGTGATACGACCAGCCCGGCCTCGAGCTCGGGCGACGTACAGGTCCTGCAGCGATGGAAGGCCGCGGCCGATCACTTCCTCTGCAGAGCGCACAATGCGCTGTAGTCTCTGTTTGTCCCTGACTGTGGCTCCAGCGAACCACACGGTGATGGAGGAGGTGAGGATGGACTCGATGATGGCCGTGTAGAACTGCACCAACATCTGTACAGGCAGCTTGGCTTTCCTGAGCTGCCGCAGGAAGTACATCCTCTGCTGGGCCTTCTTGATGAATATAATATAATAATAATAATAAAACTCCTCTTGCTGTAACTGCATACACAGCAAAACAGCCCAAACGACAAAACAGTGAGGAAGAGAAGAGGGAACTAAAGCGAAAAATGATCAAAGAAGAAATCAAGCCAGGGTCAACATAGCTAGCTTTACATTGTATCCTCTGGAGACTTACAGTCTATGGGAGAGACCTGCGGGAGCGGGACCGCCTCGGACTACATTCGGACGCGAAACTAGCTGTAATCTTTCCTATATTGTGTTAGCAGTGCGTTGCTTTGGTACCATTTCATCTGTGATTGTTGTGGAGCTTAACAGTGCTAAACATTCAAACCTTGCAGAAACAGGTATAGCTCCTTTAATATATGTAGTCTTTGCTGCATTTGGTGCAACTAAATCTCTGCTTTATTGGCTGTGATGACAGCACTGTGTTGTTGCTTTTGAGTAAGGAGCTCAGACACTAAACACATTTGAAGTTGCAGATCTAAAGTTAGGTCACACAAACCAGAGAGAACAATAAGGGCCTTAATTGGATCCTTATCTATTATACATGTTTTATTTATTTATTTGAGCAAGATACAATAATATTTATAAAAATAAGCAAAAAGTTATACAGACATATTTGCTGTTCAACAAAAGTAAGTATAAGTTCAAAGAAGCAGTTACAATTTGATAGTGAGCAGACCAAAGCCCCACATAAACATAAACTTAGTTGAACTTGTTAGACAAGGTAATTCTACATCACTCTAATCTCTTCTGCCACAAAGAGATGAATGTACGGCCTGCTCCATTTTGCAAAAGGAATAAATACAATGCTGATCCAATGCAAATTGACTTCCTGGTAATAAATCACAGTTCTCACACAATGAGCTGCTTCTTTCTCCAAAACTTTCCTCTGTATCAAAAACAAATTGCACAAAAGCAGAGTGGACAGTCTAGTAGTTGATTACAAAAGGACTATTTCTGTCAAATAAAATAAAACTGTAGCAACAGCCTACCTGTCCGTTTTGGAGTTCATTGAGGCTTTTGCATATCTTCTGGTTCTGTGAACACAAAGCAGAGTGATGTCAGTCGCATAAACATTCTTACAGATTATAGCATCTGTTGTAGATATAAATAGTATTTGTCTATTTGTTGTGTTAACTTTGCAGCATAAAGAAACAGCTTAATCAGAGTCGAGCACTCCAGTGGTGGAATAAACAGCAGTAAACCCCAGGAGCAGCCGCTCACAGCTGGGCTGCTGCTGTCGACAGATCTTAGCTCATTTGTCATGTGTAATCTAATGGATGCATGTAGAAGTGTCAAGGGAGAGCAAAAACTCCCATTCAAAGTGATTTCCCTCAAGCAAAGCAGGTGGTTGGAAATAACTAATGAGGTATACGTACAGAAAATATTCTAAAAGTCTAAAGCCATCCATCCATCCATTTTCTACCCTTTAATCCATTTCTGGGTCAGGGGGGTGGCAATCAGAGATGCCACCCAAGTCTCATAGCACCAGCCCCTCACTGACCCTCTGCAGGTGGTGAGTCCACAGGAGGACGGCTGCTCTCTGAGTGTGAGCATAGCCTTGATCTTTCAGTGGGGGCTTTGGGCAAAGTGGGGTTGAGTGTCTTGCCCAAGGACACAACGACAGCAGTCATCAGTGGGAGTCGGTGGAGAAGGTGCAGAGGTGGGAATTGAACCCACGACCTTCTGGCCTTAAGGCCAATGCTCTACCAACTGAGCTACTGTCGCCCCCTAGTCTAAAGTCTAAAGCACACCAATCAATGTTGGCCGTATGAAGCCAGTGAAAATCTGTCTCTGTAGGCATCTGTCTTTTGGTTTAGAGCGCGTTTCTGAATATGTTTCTACATGTGTAATCACAAACTAATGTCTCTGTCAAAGCAGCACTCTGATCATGACATTCATTCCAGGAAGTAGACAGCGATATCGTAAAATGTTGTATTAGAACCAGCAACTGTATCACTGTTTTCATTTAAAGTTGGATTGAGTGGTAAGTTTGTTGTGGTTGTGGTTGTATTATCTTAAATTAAGATAATTAAATTAATAAATATAGCAAGAGTTGAGGCTACACAAATATGCACTATGGCATGGAGAGTGGAAGAGCTGAATAACTTTCACCAATGTTGAGTTTAAACTGGTGTAATGTAGATAGTATTGTACCAATAGTTATTTGAGCAAGAGTCAATACCACAATGAATATAAACCAGATACATTTCAAGAAATAAACCACCCTCAACAAACGTGGACATGCTCAATCATCAATTGCACAACAGACTTTTAATTTCCAGCTGAACTCCTGGAGATAACAATCAGAGTGGCTCCAAAATGCACTGAAATGAAAACAAATTGCATTTTCCTTCATATTTACAGCCAGAGCATCTGTTGAAAATGCACACAAACACAGCCAGCTTCTGCTTGTTAGCATTTGGACGACCAGGCTTTCTGGGGAAGGCATTAGTGCTGTTTGGCGAGCTCCGACAGGCTTCATCTTTCAGAGCTGCAACTGTGGACCCTCACGAGAGCCAGGGCCACCTAGCCAGCTGCCTCCAACTGAATTCTGCCTAACAAAACTCTCAATTAAAATGATGTTATATATAAGATGTGTTATATTGAGAACAGCAACGGCTAAGCTTGCTGTCGTATGATTTTATAGTATACCAATAGTCAATTTCTGAAGTCTGAACATTGCAAAGCACTTTGGGTGACCTTGGTTTGTGAAAAAATGCACTATATAAAAAAAGATTACTTGCTTACTTGCTAATAGCTTTAAGGCATTAAAAGTTATATTATACGGTTTAACACTTTGAGATGCAAAGCCCAGACAAAAATAGAAGCATTCATTAATGTTCATAATAAAAGTATACAGGGTACATTCACAGGGGGTCCCTATTGAGTGAGTAATGTCACCATTCAAAGCTCAATTGTCTTTGTTCTGTGGGGGCCCATGCAAGTTGAGGCCCCAAGCCATCCCTTTTCGTGCTTGTTCTCCCTCGCTACTATGTCCTGGCGCACACAATCAATTAAAGATAATGTTTATTCCCAATGAGTGGTAAACGTGTCTGCAGGGTGGAGGGATGTACCCTGAGCAGGTGTGGTGGTCCCAGAACTGAGGCCTCTGGGATAACTGCTTTTCAGGCTGATACAATAAGTTGATTTAAAATGCATGACAATTGACTCAACATTGTTTTCTTTCACCAGCAGACCTGTTACCTCACACAACACACATTCAAAAGTAAAAGATGAGCTAGAGAAGTGTTGACGTGGAGAGGCCCTTACGTTTCCCTCTGGAGAAAAAACACATGAAGCACATTTCCATTCTGCTGCTGGAGCCCAGAGGCAGGATGACCCAGTCAGTACCATCACGCCACAAACGGCCTTTTCATTACAGTCAGGTAAATGGAATTGTACGCGTCTCCATGTGGCCACAGTAGTTCATTATAGCACAGAGCATAGATCACACATGGCAACAGCTCTGGAAACTGTCAACCGGGAAGAATGGGAGTTATGCATCTTTTCAGCAAGGTGATGGTCATGTTTTGTGTTTGGAGGTTCATGTTTTCTCTTGACAGATTATAGAGAACAACTGTTTTAGCTTGTGCTCATGGCACATTCATAAGCTCCTGCAATAAACTATTAAATAACATATGTTTACAGTCTTCCCACTATTTCTTACTAGAGTACATTTTCTATGCAAATAATAAATGAAAGTACAATTGATAGTATTTGTGAATTGTGAATAATTGAGATCTTGTAAAGAAAAGCTTTGGTAAAATTCAGATGTTTTAATGTTATTTAAGGAAAATGGAATCCCATCATCAGTGGCTGCAGCCTTCTTATCATAAAAATCTATTCGTATTTGGCTCCATCAAATGTAGTACCTTTTAATAATGTTAGGATTTCTGCTCGAGCTTTAACTGTGGCAACAATTAGACATGCTTGATGGCACATTTCACATTCACAGACATTCACTTTGAAAAAATATTAGAAATCTAACTGTGACTAAATGAATATGTAGTTTCTTTCTCCACACATGACATGCATCCACCTCAGTAAGTGTATTCAATTTAATTTTCCATTATTTCTTTTTCTTATCGTATGCAACACAGTCGTATAAACATAGTTACAGACAAAAAAGCAATTAAAATAAATAGCGGTTGGACAGAAGTGCCCGGAAGAAAGATAAAGGCGGCAGCGTGGAGGCTATTTGAAGTTACAGCTATTCGTCACAACACAGAACTAACAAGCAACTCATGCAGACGCTCGGGGCCAGGCCTCTGGCGTCTCAGAGTAAATGGCTAAATTAACCTAATTATTTGACCAAGTTGGAGAAATGCTGGCAGTCGTGCACATTTTCTTATGGAAATGAAAGTGGCTTTGTGGGATATTCTTTTAGATCAGGAATAACTAAACTAAGGTCCACGGCTCTCTCTGTCATGTAATGTGGCCCGCTGTGATAACCGTGCAACTTAGCCATAGACCATAGACCATATATTACCAGTGGACTGACTGAGTGCTGTCATTGTTTCAATTTCCTTATATGGGCATTTATTTCGACAGCGTTAGCTTTACACCGTAACAGGGGCAGACATGATGCTTAGATGGTTGCTAAGGCAAGCTGGAGTTTCCCCATCTGATTGATAAATCTTAATTGGGCTCATATTTGTATTTACAAAGATATAATCAAAATTAAATAACAATCATGTGAGTGCTAAACCACGGATTTCTTTAGCCCAAATGGTGAGTGGGAAAGCAAACATTGACTGAGCTAAAGGAGTTCCATGTATGTCAATAAGAGTCGAAGCAAGTTAGAGCAAAACTTCATCCATGAACACTTGAGAATCAGAATTATTTTTATTGCCATATGAGTACCAACAAGTCATAAACCAGGAAATTGCTTTGGCTCTCGGTGCAAACAAGTTAAAAAGTAAAAATTGGAATAAGGCAAGCATAAAATTAAAATCTACATAACATTTCTTAATATGGCATGAATGATACAAGTGCACTAGGTGCACACAATAGACTTTGAACAGTGCAGTAAAGAGAGAGAGTGCCCTTTAGAGACAATAAAGGGACTGTAGAGACTGTAAAGTGACTGTAGAGACAGTAAAGTGACTGTAGTGACAGTAAAGTGACTGTAGAGACAGTAAAGTGACTGTAGAGACAGTAAAGTGACTGTAGAGACAGTAAAGTGACTGTAGTGACAGTAAAGTGACTGTAGAGACAGTAAGTGACTGTAGAGAGATTAAAGTGACTGTAGAGACAGTAAAGTGACTGTAGAGACAGTAAGTGACTGTAGAGACAGTAAAGTGACTGTAGTGACAGTAAAGTGACTGTAGAGACTGTAAAGTGACTGTAGAGACAGTAAGTGACTGTAGAGACAGTAAAGTGACTGTAGAGACAGTAAAGTGACTGTAGAGACAGTAAAGTGACTGTAGAGACAGTAAGTGACTGTAGAGACAGTAAAGTGACTGTAGAGACAGTAAAGTGACTGTAGAGACAGTAAAGTGACTGTAGAGACAGTAAAGTGACTGTAGAGACAGTAAAGTGAATGTAGTGACAGTAAAGTGACTGTAAAGACAGTAAAGTGACTGTAGAGACTGAAAAGTGACTGTAGAGACAGTAAAGTGACTGTAGAGACAGTAAAGTGACTGTAGAGACAGTAAGTGACTGTAGTGACAGTAAAGGGACTGTAGTGACAGTAAAGTGACTGTAGAGACAGTAAAGTGACTGTAGTGACAGTAAAGTGACTGTAGAGACAGTAAAGTGACTGTAGAGACAGTAAAGTGACTGTAGAGACAGTAAAGTGACTGTAGAGACAGTAAAGTGACTGTAGAGACAGTAAAGTGACTGTAGAGACAGTAAAGTGACTGTAGAGACTGTAAAGACAGTAAAGTGACTGTAGAGACAGTAAAGTGACTGTAGTGACAGTAAAGTGACTGTAGAGACTGTAAAGTGACTGTAGAGACAGTAAAGTGACTGTAGAGACAGTAAAGTGACTGTAGAGACTGTAAAGTGACTGTAGAGACTGTAAAGTGACTGT